GCTGCCACGTCTACAGCTCCACCCGAGTGACCGCTTCCGGTGTCACGCAACAAAGCCCACGCTCCCGTCTGTATAGCGGATTCTGTTGTAACAATCTAGCTGCCATTGTGTGCTTCGGCGTGTATTTATTTAACACTAAGCTGGGAATACAATCTACGGTGAATTCTACTCTGCAACTCAATAATGTAAACAGGCATAAAAGAACAGTAGCATTCTTACCGCTCCATTTTGAATCAAGTACTCCACCACAGCAAGATGCCCATTGGCAGAAGCCATATGAAGAGCTGACAGTGATGAGGAAATGGTTAGGTATCTCACTAATTAGTCTAGGAGATCAATCTAAAATGAAAGCATTCTAGAAGAATGTTTGGTTGAATTATCAAGTTTGTCACTGAACTTCGAATGAATTTGAAAGGTGATGGTTTTCAGAGAGTTTATATAGTTAATTTATGGTATGTGCCTTGCACTTGGTGACTTACTAAGAACAGCAACATGGAAAAGATATCCCAGTACTCCATTTGTAAGAAACTTGCAAGAGAAATTAAAAGACTATCTATTCATTATACATCAGGCTTCTGTTGAACCACTCTAATTCAAGCCAAGGACACCATAATCTACCCAGATAGTGTACTGTTGTGTTCAGAACTTCGTATGGCACGCAGACTGATATATACATGGCAGCTTCATACACCACACTGACATAATAACATAATAAAAGTATCTGAACAGAAAACTAAGAGCAACCGAGACAGTCGAACTTGAACAGGGGGAATCAAACCAACCCGTCCGGCCTTGCGAATCTGCGGAGTCGAGGGGGACACCGGCGGAGAAGAGGGCGACGACGTCTTCCAGCTCGTCGTACCTCGCGGCCTGGCAGAGCAGCACAATCAAGATCCACCACTCCCGTCGGTTAATCGCATGAACAGTCCATCCCGATGCAAAAAAAAAACAGAGAATACGAGCAAGGGAAGTAGAACCCGGCACCCGGGGGTGCGGGGAGGTTTGGGGCTTACGTCGATGAGATCCTGGGCCTGCTCGGCGGTGGCGGCGGGGGTTGGCTGCGCCGATTCGACGCCCATCGCTGAGCACGCGAGAAAGCTAGGTCAGCTGGGAGGAAAGGGGAGGTTGGGGTCGCGGTGCCGCCGGCTGCACTTGATGCTGCTGCGGTTTCCCTGCGTACGGCGGCGGCGGCGGCGGGTTGCCCTGGCAGCCCCTCAGTCCAAGTTGGCGTGTGTGGGCTTCTTCTCGGCTTATGGGCTTTATTTGCCAGGTACTATTACTTTTCTTGGGAATGCCAGGCAAAACCACCAGCGGGCCGTTTCCTAGCGACACTATGGGCCATTTGGCATGCCCGCAGGAAGGCGATCCATGAGCAAGTTTTCAGTCACCTCACTCGACACACCACTTCATACCATTACACTAAAAAAAAACACTTCATACCATCAGTTCCTAAAAAAACGTATATCAAAGAGCTCGAGATGTGCAGGCCTAAGACCCCTGCAAAAGCTGTGGTGATCACACCCTCACGGCAACGCAGGTGGACTCCACCACCGGCTGGATTTTGCCAAATTAAAGGTTGATGGCGCTCTGGCCAGATCAAGTGTCGAGGGCTCTTACAGTGCAGTATGCGGAGATGAGGGCGGCAAATACTTGGGATCATCGGCAATAAAATGCTCCGGTATAGTGGATCCAGCCGCACTCGAGGCCCTGGCATGTGGGGAAGGCCTTTCTTTGTCCATGGACCTCAATATCACGCATGCAATAATAGCGTCTAACTGCCATTAAGTTGTCAATAACTTAAAGGAAGGCTCTGGTGGGCTGTATGCAAGCACAATCAAAGAGATTAATGCAACGTCTTTACAGTTGCAACATTGCTACTTCATCTTCGAATGACGTAAGTCGAATAGAGAGGCTCATAGCTTCACTAGACAGCAGGGGCGGAATTGGGTCTGGGTCAACTGGGGCTATAGCCCCAGGCTTGGCCCATCTAGTAGGCATACATTCATTAGTTTCTTTTTTATATTTATATACATACATACAAGGCCCAGCCCCAGGCGTGCAAGCACAGCCCCATGTTCAGCCCACGTAAGTTCCCACTTCCCAGCCCAATGGAGATGTCCTATGCCACGACTCGAGACCACCACAGTTGGTTTGGTTAGTTCCCTCAAAAAAAAAAAGTTGGTTTGGTTAGTAGCGATTTCTAATAAGGAATCAATCGTCCAGTGTTTCGCCTCATCTTTCGCTCAATTGATCAAAAAAACGTCTCCGTTCACAACTGCGCCGCCTCAGCCGCCCGCCGTTTCCCACGGGACAGATCGGCGTCCCGCGTCTATACTTGCGCCCAGGCGGCTGCTGCTCGCCGCTCAGAGCACGGATCATCGCCTCGTCGACTCCTAGCAGTGCCCTCCGGGCTCCAGCCCTTCTTTCTTTTCATCTTCAAAATCGGCTAGACAGCAAGACAGGACAGGTAATCTTCAGTTTATTGTATCTGTCATCTAATTTTCCCTAGTTTTCTTTCTATTTGCCCAAGTCAATGAGTTTGTGACATTCAATTGTATTACTTTAATCACTTCTATTTCATTGTTATTTGTTAACAGGAAATATTGTTCAAAATCCAAGATGAAGAGGATTCGAACAATTGAAGAGGAAATATTGTTCAAAATCCTTGATTCTGCTTGTCACTACAGCAACCGTAGAAAGAGCTTTCTCAGCTATGAGCATTGTCAAAACTGAGTTGCGGAATAAGATGAATGATGAATGGATGAATCATCGTTTGGTGTGCTATATTGAGCGTGATGTATTTGCAAGCATTGATGATATTAAGAATATACAGTGCTATCAAAAAATGAGGAAACAAAAGGGGCTACTACCTTGTGCACTTCGTGACAATGGTTTTTTTTTTTTGCAAAATATCATACGAACAATTGATTTTAGTATATGTCCAGTGTCTTAATTTTAAATACTCGATTTTATGTTTGCAGCTCTAGGTCTTTCTACTATTGCTGGTGAAGAAACAATTGCCTAGAATTAAGCAAGTCTTCATCAATTTGGTACCAAACAATGTTTGTAAAATGCACTTTGTTAAATTATTTGCTTTATCGAATTTTCTCTCATGGTAATAAGGAATTTACATTTCATCTTTAATGTGAATTTGTGGCATACTTCTAGCACATGTTGATGTGCATGCTATTTGACGTTATTTTTAGTCAGTTAGTTTTAGCCCTAGGCTTTGAGAAATCCTGGCTCCGCCTCTGACTAGACATGCTTTAGGATTACCTCTCAGACACCATGTGTGGCTCCTAAACCCTCTGATATCTCTTGTATCCCTATGTTTTTCGACATTGATCAATAGATAAAGTATGTTTATAGACTAAAAACAAGCAGGCCGTTTCCTTGGCCAACTTGTATTTGGCGTCTATGGCACCGATTTGGAATGTAAACTGTTTGTATCGGATCAGATATTGCTTTTCTCATATCCTTTATCATATTTTTTGTTGGATTCGGGGCAAAGATAACGGCCTGCTGAAGATTTTATCGGATTATCGTTAGTAGAAAAACGACTTTTAATACCGGTTCGTAAGGACCTTTAGTATCGGTTCTGGAACCGGCACTAAAGGGTGGGGACTAAAGCCCCCCCCCCCTTTAGTCCCGGTTCAACACGAACTGGAACCAAAGGCCCACCACGTGGCACGAGGCGCGCCGTGGTCTGGGGGACCTTTAGTCCCGGTTCGTAAGGATTTAAAAAAAATTGAAATAAAGCAAAAACAGCCTGCCTACTGGGTCGGCACTGTAACGCCCTCGATGCGGCTATATCTCCCACGTGTCGAAGCACGACTTAGAGGCATAACCGCATTGAAAGCAATGTCGCAAGTGAGGTAATCTTCACACAACCCATGTAATACATAAGGGAAAGAGATACATAGTTGGCTTACAATCGCCACTTCACAACAATACATGAATAAAGCATTACATCAACCAGTTACACACAAGGTTCGACTACGGAACCCAAAATAAAAGAAGACTACCCCAAATGCTACACAGATCCCCGATCGTCCCAACTGGGCTCCACTACTGATCAACTGGAAACGGAACAACATAGCGAACACAAACTTCATCGAGCTCCTCCTTGATCTCGGTTGCGTCACCTGCACGGTATCATCAGCACCTGCAAACTGGTTTTGGAAGTATCTATGAGTCACGGGGACTCAGCAATCTCACACCCTCGCGATCAAGACTATTTAAGCTTATAGGTAGGGTAAAAAGGTATGAGGTGGAGCTGCCGCAAGCGTCTAGCATATTTGGTGGTTAACATACGCAAATGAGAGCGAGAAGAGAAGGCAAAAGCACGGGCGAACAACTATGATCAAGAAGTGATCCTAGAACAACCTACATCAAACATAACTCCAACACCCTGTTCACTTCCCGGACTCCGCCGAAAAGAGACCATCACGGTTACACACGCGGTTGGTGTATATTAGTTAAGATAAACTTCAGGCTTTCTGCAACCGGATATTAACAAATTTCCATCTGCCCATAACCGCGGGCACGGCTTTCGAAAGTTCAAAACCCTGCAAGGGTGTCCCAACCTAGCCCATCTAGGGATGGCAATTTTATCCATGGATCTGGATATCCATGGATACCCGACCCGGTTGGGCAAGGGTATGGAGCACATTTCTGCCCATGGGTCCGTGGATATGGATACCCACGAACAGCCGGGTTGGGCATGATTATAGTTTGTGCTCCATGGATATCCATTGGATACCCGTATGACATGTGCGACCATATGCGAGTGATAGTAGAAAGAATGAATCAACGGGAAATGGAAGGCAATATGTAACTGGTGCCATAAGATATATGCTGCAGAATCAACCTCTGGTATGTCACACATAAGGACTCATCGTATTACTTGCTGCCTACTTATGCATGTAGCTTAAGTTGTCATTTGTGAGTGAATGATGATGAGTTAATTTGATCTTTGAGAAGGCTTCATGCTAACTTTTTTATGCCCATGGACCTCCATGGGTATGTGGGTATCCAGCGGGTTTGGCCATGGGCACAGGTTATGCCCATGGATAATTTGGTGGATGAGAAGAGGGTAGGGAGATGGGTCATGGGTTGGATTTGGACCAACTCCACCCGCCCCAAACCCGACCCATTGCCATCCCTGAGCCCATCACAAACTCTCATGGTCAACGAAGGATATTCCTTCTCCCAGGAAGACCGTATCAGGCTCGGAATCCCGGTTACAAGACATTTTAACAATGGTAAAACAAGACCAACAAAGCCATCCAGATGTGCCGACAAATCCCGATAGGAGCTACACATATCTCGTTCTCAGGGCACACCGGATGAGCCAGACGTCGGGTGGGCCAGCCCAGAGTTGCCCCTGGTAGCTCCGGACTTCGCTCAGTTTGGACCAACAGTTAGACAAGCACTTGCCCGGGGGGGTTAAAATAAAGATGACCCTTGGGTTGGCCTAACCCAAGGGAAAAAGAGGCTAGGTGGCGAATGGTAAAACCAATGTTGGGCCTTGCTGGAGGATTTTTATTCAAGGCAAACTGTCAAGGGGTTCCCATTATAACCCAACCATGTAAGGAACGCAAAATCCGGGAACATAACACCGATATGACGAAACTAGGGCGGCAAGAGTGGAACAAAACACCAGGCATAAGGCCGAGCCTTCCACCCTTTACCAAGTATATAGATGCATTAATATAAATAAGAGATATTGTGATATCCCAACAAAATAACCATGTTCCAAACATGGAACAAGCTCCAATCTTCACCTGCAACTAACAACGCTATAAGAGGGACTGAGCAAAGCGGTAACATAGCCAAACAACGGTTTGCTAGAACAAGGTGGGTTAGAGGCTTGGCTTAGCAATATGGGAGGCATGATAAGCAAGTGGTAGGTATCATAACATAGGCATAGCAAAAGAGCGAGCATCTAGCAAGCAAAGATAGAAGTGATTTCGAGGGTATGGTCATCTTGCCTGCAAAGTTCTCTGAGAAGACGAAAAGCTCGATCCTCGTAAACGTACTCAACGGGCTCCTCGAACACGAACTCGTCTCCCGGATC